TTTAATATATAAATTATGAGCTCCAATAATTTAGGTTTTTAACCAATATATCAAGGGAACATTTATCATACCTCCAGAAAATATATTTCAATTATAGCAACACAAAATTGAGGCCAACGAATTTTTCATCTCGATTATTTTAACATTTGAAAAAATTTTATATATAAAAGAAATTCGATCATTTTAGGAATTTTTTTGGGCATCTCAGCGGGTATTTCCCGGAAAGTCCCAAGGACAATCATTGAGAATGAGATGATAGAAATTACAACCAAGGCTGCAATATTATGATTGGCCATTGCGGTCGTCCATTAGTTTGGGCAGCAGTTCTTGCCGACTTTGGCATGTCCATGTTAGTTATCTTCAATAATATGCTTCTACTAGGAAAGACTAGATGAGAAAAAATGTAGCCAAACATATGCACGAAAGAATAATGCTATTTACAGTCGCTCACTATCGCAGTCATCCTACTTGGTATACATGTGGTGGTTAGTGATTTGTTGCATAAGATAAAAAAAAAAATACCACATTAATGTATCAAATCACCTACCGCCACTTACGACAGTAAACGATTGTAAATAGCATTACTCTGCATAAAAAGATGCAAAAAAATAAGCCAACAAATTAGCTTGCCAAAATATCTCTAGAATTCAAAACTCAACAGGCGGATTTTTGTATTGGGCAATCGTCCAGCTCACCAAATGAGCCTCGGCTTTGAAAACTTAAGGCCGGTGCCTAACCTTTTTTTTTTGGCTTCCGATTGTTTTACACACCTCACTATATAATTTGAACGGTATTCCAACAGAATCCTCAATCTGGGAGAGAAATGCCCGACTGTCTATCCGTGGAAGAAACACCAATACCCCAGCCCCAATCCAACAAGCCCAATTTTAATCTTAATCCCAATATTCAAAGTTGGCGACTCTATGATAAGCCCTTTTTTAAAAGTGTTAAAGAAGGTGGAAATGTCATCAATACAAAATAAAAGCATAACTACTAGACAGACCCGTACATCTATTTCCAAGTCAAGGTCTTTGGATTGAGGAGTCTCCTATCTCATCATAAATCGGTGAAGTGGGGTGAGCCTGTTGGACGAGTTTGCTCGCGAATCTGTTGGGGGCCATCAATGGTTTGATTTTCTTCTAAAAATGAGAAATAAAATGACAAACAAACAAAATCTTATCCTTCTATATAAAGCATTAGTCATAAAGAGGGTTAGTTTGATGCTCTTCGAGTAGTATTTTATGAATGACATGTGAGTTATGGTTAAACTGTTCACAATAATAATATCACGAATGATATATATTGATCATATCAGAAATTGTATTTCACTATACTCGAATCATCAAGCATACAACTTGTGACATCTTGTATGATCAAGATGCTTCAAATTATTATTGCAAATAATCGAATCATAACTTATAATGTCGTTCACAAAATACTACTCGAAAGACATCAAACTAGCGTAGAGATCTATTACCTCCGACAGGCCAATTGCCCCCAAATCGCTGGGAGTTTAAAAATACTGGTCTGTGCTGTCAAACAATCAATAAAGCAATTGACATGCATTTGAACTAATAAATGCCTTGAAGGACATCATATGGGATAATGAACAACTTGAAGCCAAGGAAAGAGCTTTGTGTACTTTCCCATAGTTATATGCATCGAC